GGKTMMGGWTGAGGGGGTATTTTAGAACCAGCAGGTATGGGAATACAGGGAAACAGTTATTCAGTACACTTACCATTGGCATAAATTTCCCAAGAGAGACAAGAGAGACATTAATCTATTGTTTTGCCGAAGATGCATGCCATTTAATAGGCGAGGTAGAGGTAGGAGTTATAATATCCATTTGCACAAGGAAGCTATACTGGCACCCAGCCAGCGTTATCAGTGTTTTCCCATGGGCTTCTTGTCCTGCCACAGAAAGACCGCATTTACACCAGCCTGGAAAAAAAAAAAATGTTATCAGCCTTTCCCTCTGACAGCTTATTGAACCTAAATGAACTAGCAGCTTTAAAATCTTGGGCAATCAGAGGACTCTGACCTCTCTCCTTGCTGGAGGGAGCATCATTAGAGATCGAACCACTTTTGACCCAGCAATCTGAATCGCTCTATTTTGAAACAGGTAAAAAAAAAAAAAAAAAAAAAAAGTCTCATAAAATAGATGGCAGTTTTTCAACTCTAAATGAAGGGGTATTCTTTAAATAGGAAAGTTTTGCTTCTCTGGCAGGACTTAGTTTTTAGCATGGAGGTGAGGAGAAACTGCATGACCATATACATGAACATATGCTTAGATTTGAAGCCCCTGCTTGTGCCGTCCTGTTTTACACCCCATACTCTTTCAGCATCCACAGCTCATCCATGAACACAAAAGCATACACGGGGGCAGGCCATGCCCAGGGGAAGGTATAAAAGCACATGGGAGTGACAGTGTGCTGGAGCAGGAGATTGGGGGGATCTATGAGGATAGCTGTCAAAGGAGGTAGTCATTAAGTCARTGTGGCCTGGTGATGAGCCTGAGATTTGGAGTCCTGGCAGGCACTAGAAATTGGGAGACTGAGGCTGTTGATCACTAGAGCAATCTTCTACTTTCTGTTATCCCACAAAATGTAGGTAGATGGACAAAACGGAACTTTTTTCATYAGGCATGTGTATAGGAATTTCTAGGAAAAGGGACCAGGCATGAGTCTTAAAAACACAGAAGTCTCTCAGATGATTTATGTGTGTGGGTTGGATATCCTGGTCTCTCGGATCCCTTCTGCACCTGTAAGGGTGGGATCCCAGCTGGTGAGGCCTCACCTTTGTCTGTTGGGACCTTTTTCTTGTCCATGTCCAATGGGCAGCACCAAGACAGAACTGAGGGGTGCTGCATTGCTGTCAGCCTGTCACAGCCCCTTCTGCTTTCAGGTAGGGTGAACACATCATTTATAGTTCACATTAAGAAAGGATGGCTAGGCATGGTGGCACACGCCTGTCATCCCATCGGCTCAGGAGGCTGAGGCAGGAAGATCATGAGTTCAAAGCCAGCCTCAGCAAAAGCAAGGCACTAWGAAAGACCCTGTCTCTTGTTGATCTAGATCTTATTTGGTTTTAAAAAAGACATGGCAAACCTTTCTCAGTTGAGTTGACTCCTCTCTTTTATAGATGAGATCAGACACTTGTCATTTAACTACCTGCCTCTGACTAAATGAAAAAAATTGGTGGTACAGTGCAGTTCATGAAGAAAAAAGGGTCCATGGCTATTAATTGGGCCTCCTTATGAGTTTTTKGTTTTGTTTATTTGCWGTACTGGGATTGAACCCAGGGGTCTCACGGGTGCTAGGCAAGAGCTCTTCCATGAGTCTTCCTTATGAATCCCAAGCTTCTTTATTTCTCACTTAAAATTTTTCTAGATGTTTTATTCCCTCATGGGGAGAGGCACAGAATCAGGAGTCATTTTTTTGAAAACGTGGTTTACTCTTGTGGCTTGTCTCAGTGGTTGGTGGCTGAGGTGTCCACCAGCATTCTATTGAGAAGAGGTCTCAGGAACGAAATGAAGTGCCTCCCTTCGCACACCTKGCCCTCCGGGAAGAAATGGGAACTAAATGGCTTCTTGTCCTCTTTGCTGATGATCAAACAGAAACATGAGTCGTTTTCCATACTTTGGAGATCAGGATTTTTAAGGATATATGCATTTGACAGGAGATGAACATTGCATCTTGTAGCAAATTCGCATGAGTTGCTCCAAGAAATGCCCACTTCGTCGAGRACAAAATTTGTGTGAGATGCATATTTTTAAGCTGTAGTATAATTTATATACCATAAAACTCACCCACTAATGACTATCAGTGTATTTAAAGAGTYATGCAGTGTATCAGTCTATCTTCATCAGAAAGAAATCTTGTGCCTAATACATCACCTAGTGTCCCATGCAATCCATTGATATTTTTAGTGGTTTGGCTGCCTAGTGTGTTAGAGTGCAACAGATTTCTGAGTTTTAAAGAAGTTCCCAGAAAAACATGTTATCCCAGGCACAGTTCGGTTCCCATGGTAATGAGTTGAATTTGTACCCCCACTGCCAGTCCCTGGTTTCTTGGATGAAGGAAGGTTAAATGAAGGTGGAGCTGCATGGAGGGAGATGACCCTCCTTCAGGGCTTCTTGGCGGCAGCCCAGATATTCAAAGGATGCTGAGTCTTGGACCTTAAGAGTTGCAAGAGGCAAAAGTAAGCACTCGCCCTATGGTATCCATTAGAGGATTGTTTACAGAACCCCCTCTCCACCCCTATGGACACCAGAATGTGCAGATGCTCAAGGCCTTTCTATTAAAAAAAATAATACTATGAATACCTGCATATAACTATACTACACGTATTTCCCATACCTATAAATTATCTATAGATTACTTATAATATGATGCAAATGCTGTATGAATAGTTGCTAAACTGTATAGTTTAGGGGATCAGGATGAGGGCRGGTTCCATACACATGCAGTACCCTACCACCTCCAAACATTTTCAGCCTGCAGTTGGTTGAATCCAAGGATACAGAACTCAAGAATAGGGAGCACTGACTGTACTCTCAGTGGGGAAAGGAGAAAGAGAATATTTTTATATTTTTATTTGTGAATGCCTGTCTCCATCCAGTTGCTCCCAGGTTGAGACACTTAATATTCTAGCTTACAGGGAACATGAGCTTCTTTGGGTAAATGGCAGCTTGCCAGTGGTATGTCATTTGTAGGTATTCTGCAGAGTGTCTCTCTTTTTCTTTCCAAAGAAGTTCAGAGCAATGTCCAGCTCCACCAAATGAACTGTGCACTATGTGACAAACTGCCTGGTAATCAAATTGAACTGCTGGTTTCTGTGCAAAAGACAGAATTAAACAGGTTAGCAAGTGAAAACATTTTACCTTGAGGCATGCTGGCACSC